CGGGGGTTCATCATAGTTGTGTACGAAATCTCCAATCTTTACCTCGGTTATACTGTAGCCCACGGAATTATCAGCCGCGCTAGACAGAATATTCTGACGGATCGGTACCTCGTGAACTACCTTTCTAGAACTATTTCGACGCTACGTGAAATACATTCCGAGGAGCCTAACGAACCGCATTGATCCTCCCAGAATGAAGGTTGCAAGTATGGAGCATTTACGGTACAACGACTGTAGACTTTGCTCCTGCTCCTGCCGCTGTTGTTGCTAGTAATGCATCTGCTCATACGGCAGAGGTGGCCCAGCCTGGTGAGGAATGTAAGATATCTCAGTTGTACCTCTACAGTCCTCCTATTGTAGGTTATCGATGTTGTTGTTGATGTCCACTTCGTTTCTGATCGATTGCCACCTGTATTGCGCGGTAATGACCCAAAACTCATATGATAACTCCCTTGACCGACTATGCCTGTATTCGTAATAACAACTTTCCAAATCATATGCGTCCGTAACCCCTCTCAACATGGTTCATAAACACTTTAGATCGGGTCCAAGGACGCAGGGTGAAATATTAAGTTTCTTATTCACAGCATCAACAGGCCTGATACGAAACTCTCTATCGCTACCGACGATATTCATAGTGAACGAGAAGATACGAATCGTAGACGCACAGCGAAAAATATCATGCAGCACGATCAGCAAATCTTGCAATCTTGCGCAATCTTACAATATCTCCGGTGCATTTTCCTTCTGGCGGAGTTCTTGAAGATCACGGGTCGTAGATCGTGAGCACAGTTATGTTCTCCTAGTAGTAGTAGTAGTAGTAGTAGTAGTAGTAGTAGTAGTAGTAGTAGTAGAACTACTACTACTGCTACTGCTACTGTTGGAGAGGAACGGGAGGAACTGATTGTATTTGCTAGGCATTACTCAGTAGTTTAGACTCTGAACTTTAGAGTATTATGGTGAGAATCGTTGTAATCGTTTTCGGCGGGCTTTGTCATTGACGGTTAGTGTTTTCGGGCAGTTCAATTTAGTATATTTGACATCCTGTGAATTTGTAACAAGATATAGGTGGTCGAGTCAGCGGAGGATCCGGGTTCAATTCGCTCTGCTGGCATCATCTACATTTCCCTCACTTGGCGTGTGACGAGCATTCTCCTTCGACCCCTCTAGTGGTACGCGAGACGTCTCTCCAGACGACACTCGCGTCGGAAAACGGTTAAGGGTTGATATCCCACGAGTGATGAGAATTCCCCATTCTCGTCATTTAGCATGTCTGTTTGGCGAACACCTGTCGTATTCGTACAATAGAAGCTACAAACTTTGATGCTGCTCCCCCGATTCGTTCTTGCTTGTCTTTCATTCGTGCCTTCTCCCGATAATATAAACTTGCCTGAGTTACCTCGATGAGATTGAGCGGATCTTTTCAGGATGTTAGATCATGCTCATTGCACCATTGTGACAACAGTGTTGTCGTCATATATCTGCCATGAAGGTAAATAGAACTGATTCGTATTCTCGACTGATGACATCAGTCTAATATGCTCGGACCATCATGATTCAGTTATAGCATGACCGAGTGATGCAGCAGGAGCATTGGCGATGCCGCACTCTGCCACCCCGTCAGATGGCCCATCCGAGATGGGTATTTAAGTCCACAATGATCAATCGTCAGATGTTGGAATCCTGAGTCGTCCGAACTGTAGCAGCTGGTCTCTTGCTATTTCCGAGATCAACTTTGTAACATCCGAAGACGAATGGAAAACTTGTGCGACAGCTTCTGACAATTGCAGCGCCATTCATGCAACTATATGGAAGGCCGGTGTCACAGGTATGCGTCCGACTGCCAATTGTATTGTCGTGTCGGAGTTCACTCTGCCTCTGATGCTCGTATTTCCCGCGAGCAGAGCTGGTTGGATTATCAGGAGTTACAGGAGGATTATTAGAGCTTGCAAGTTCGAACCAGTTCGGTGAGGACAGCCTTCCGCAGGACCAGTGGCGCTGGTGTGCGATCGAGTTTCATGTCGCCAATAGCAATTTGATAAGATATATGAGCTTGTTATCGTACTTACTGTTCGAGGAACACTCTTGTCGCTTCATTGTCGAGTTCTGATAAACATTAAAGGATCTGCTACGCGGCTCCCTCATTTCCCAACAAAAGTTGGGGAATGCCCTCAGAAATTCCCATTCTTTCGCCAACGCGGCTCGAGCCGCGCTAATTCCAATTCTCGATTTATGATAATATGATTCATGATATCTTTGTCGTGGACCGTGTGCGAGCTGTGAAATTCACAGTTGTAGAGCGAATCGCTGTCTGTCGGTGACCATATGTTGGGGTATTTCAGGTCGAGCGGAGCCACATTCGATCTGATGCTCAAGGCGGGTTAGCGTGTGGACAAATTTGAGTAGGACGGATGGACCAGGCTCTTCCTGTCTAGTCGTAGGAGGAGGAAGACAGTGTATTGTTGTTAAGGTATGCGGATCGTGTTGGTGCCGATAAGATAGCATTCGTGGCACCAAGTGAATGGGAGTCGGGTAAGGTCCGTATTAAGGATCTCCGTACAGGTAAGGAAGGAGTAAGGTCGTCCCCTCATCATCATCCATATACTACACCTCAGGTGACTCGGAGGCCCGCGTACAAATAGATATACCGGTATGTGACCTTGCTAACGCTAAGTCATATTTCGACAAGCAGGCTGAGTAAATGGGCGGAGCGAAGCAGGTGACTTTCCTCTGTGTAACTTCATACATGATAGTCGTAAACATTTTTCTGCATCGTTTTCGTTGTTTTTTCGGGGTAAATTTTTCCATGCTCTTGAGAGTCTTCAGCTCTGTATTTCGAAACGGTCTTCAGTGTCACCTCCGAGCAGTGGATCTCATCGTGAGAGGCGCAAGATCGTATCAGTAGGTCATCTAGGGTAGGTGTAGACGACTTTGAAATTGGAAGACGCGTGATGGAATTGCAGTTTTAATATATGAGGTATGCCCTTTATAGCTGGAAGACCTCACTCGAGGTGTTTTATTAGGAGGGTTGTGTCGACCGCGTGGGGAGGTGTGTGGGCTCACATAGGGATGGACCCGGGTTCGATTCCCACTGAAAGCTTCTGTAGCTTTTCGATACTTTGCTAATTTTCGTACTCCGAGAAAGCGACGGTGGAATGCTTTCGTTGTGTTACCGATTGTCCCACCAGCATTGCGCGCGCCCAGTTGATCGATCTGTCATCTGGTGTCCCTTTATTGGGGTCATGCCCCTGCATGAACTTGTCGGAATGCCAAATTCTAACCCGGAGAGGTAGATATTAATTCTGTGAAAAGACGTTATCATAAACTGTATGTGTTGCAAGGTTGAGGAGGAGCCTGAATGATACAAGTCACCTCGTTGATCCAATTTGTGTAGTTTGGTTCCTTTGAAACTGCCAATATGTCATCAGCTCCTGAAGTTGACCTCCGTGTGAATGAGAAGCTTATCGTCCCGGAGGGTATGTCCAAGAAGCAAGCTAAGAAGTTGGCTAAGAAGGCCGCTAAAAAGGGCGGCAACAACAACAATAAACAAGAATTCGATAATGGTAAATTCACTCAGAAGCGACTCGGAAAATAATTTTTTTTGTGATTTAGTTATTTCTTTCGATCCTCCTAGTGGAACTCGGGATTTCTTCCCGGAAGATATGCGTGTGCGAGTAAGCGGTTTTCTGGTGTCGGAATATATGCTCGCTTCCCTCAGCTGAGCTCAGGAAGCTACCTTACTAATTACAGGAGTTTATATATTCAGATTTTCGAAACTTCTGATGTGATTCGTATATAAATGTTCATCAACTCGAGAATTCAAAAAAATCCCGAAATTTCCGCGTAATTTTAATATTGTCACCAACACATGTAGTTGACCATGTTGTAGATCATACTACTCCTCCACACTGCTATCCCTTCAGAATTGGCTCTTCGCCCAGTGGCGTTCCGTCTCGACCCAGTATGGATTTTCAGAGTACGATGCGCCCGTGTTGGAAAATGAGGATTTGTATAAGAGAAAAGCTGGCGAGGAAATTGTCGAGCAAATGTAATCACCAGGGGAAAGTTGCAGAATCAGAATTGGAATATATGTTCGCGTCTCTCAGCTCAGCTCAGGAGTTTGCATCCTCATTCGGACAGAAACGTAGATTTTCTCAGAATTTCCATAGTGTCACCAACACATGTAAATGACCATGTGTATACTCTCTAACACGCCTCGGTGACAGGCCTTGGCGATCGAGGTACAACTTCGTTGATAAGGAGGACCATAGAGTTACCCTACGACCGGAGATGACACCAACACTAGCAAGGATGGTATTATCGAGGGTTAGGATGAGCGCGGAGGGTGGTAGTAGCCATAATGCGGCTGCACAAATGGCTGAGGTGAGAGGAATATACATAATGGGGGGATATGCATACGGTCAGACGGTGTTGGTGATAGTGAAATGATCAGTGGAGTTTCACGCGTATAACTGGGTGAAAAGCACGAATGAAATATGTTTCTCACTAGTGATTTTCATATCACTAGGGTGGTGAAACTCCAGAGTAGGAATATATATTCGCTTTGCTCAGCTGAGCTTATAAGTTCGTGATCGAGTTGGGAAAGGAGTCCACAAGTACCAAGAAAAGCTCCTCAGGATTTTCATATAATCACCAACACGTGTAGTTGACCATGTGCAATTTTTACCACACTGAAAATTTTTTTGAGGAAATTTCGGGAAATTTTGGTATTTCTACACTAGTTCTCATGAAAACTCTTGAGATCCGCTGAGGGAAGCAAACATATATTCCTAAACTGGGAGTATACGTTCGCACTCATCAGCTGAGCTTGGGAGCTTCCTCACTGATTATAGACGTTTGTAGTAGAAGTGTACAGAAAAAGACGGCATTTTTATGTACATATTTTCTTATTGCAGGTTCTTCCGCTAAAGTGGTTTTCTATACCGCAATGTTGGAGATTCGAAACGACACAGCGCGGTCGTAAGCGTGAACATTATCAATGGAACTGTGATATCGTTGGTAAATTCCTCCACTTTTCCTTTTTTTCATCCGCGCATTTCTACTCGTAGGTGTTTCTGATATCACCGCTGAGTTGGAGCTCTTGGCCACGATGGTGGGATTTTTCAAGAGGGTCGGCCTCACTAGTGCTGATGTTGGAATCAAGTGGGTTACTCGTACGAGAGTGTGAGCAGTGTTGGAATATATGTTCGCTTTCCTCAGCTAGGCTCAGGAGTTTCCAAAACTAGTTATTGAAGTTTACACACAAATTCGGGTAGAAGTGTAGAGAATTTCCTCAGTTTTCCTCAGAATTTGCACAGATGTCACCTACACATGTAGTTGACCGTGCGCATATTTTCCGCTCACACTGAGGGTGAGCAAAGGATATATGTAATCGCTTTCCTCATCGGCTGAGCTCCGGAGTTTCCAAAGCTGATTATAGGAACCCAAGAAGAATTTCCCAAAATTTCCTTGAAATTTTCGTATTGGCGATCACACATGTAGTTGAGCATGTGCATATTTTCCTCGCACACTGATCTGTACCACTGATCCTTACTAGTTCTTAAGTTGATTATTACGAGTTACTATCTATTATGATTAATGGAGTTTCACAACAACCCGTTTTACGTGAAGTGGCGTCGTAAAAGTCGGTGAAAAATTAGGCGATATTCGCGGTGATATTCACTAGTCGTGAAATACGTTCTTCACTAGTGTTTTTCATATCACTAGGGTGGCCGTGAAACTCCATTGTAGAATACTACACCTTAACTCCATATTCATCCTAGCTGAAGTCTTCAGCTGATGTAGTTGTTGTTGTTGTAGTCGCACTTTTCATTAGGGTCAACTCTCGAGCGATTTTACAGTCGGTTTTGAAAGCCTCTGGTGTTGGCGCTGATGAATTCGCGAAGGTCTGTGTTGTTGTTGATAAAATTGATAAAGTTGGTCGAGAAGAGGTAAACACTTTGACGTTATTGTGAAGTGATGAAAGTATCTGATCGTAGGTCATCAGGCAGATGGTTGAGGATATAAAACTTGACGTTGCTGTTGCTGGTGAGAGGAAGACTTCGATCAGATTGTTGCGTGTGATTCGCGGGAGTTTCCCCACCCTAGTGATATGAAAAACACTAGTGAAAACATTCTCCACGACTACTGCATATCACCGCGAATGTGGGATT